GTTTTCCCTCTGTTGTCCTCTCTGCATCCTTCTGTGTCCTCTCACCCCTTGTCTTGAGTAACTCCCATGAGCCTACCATCCTACGCCAAGCACTGTTGAATGCTCAGGCTTGTAACCCCTCCCCTCCCCCGTCCTATTGGCTTACGTTACATCAACGCCTGTATTGCATTGTTGACGTGGTGTTGCAGGGTAGCGGGAGGTGCAACATCTGAATTTACCTATAGTGATGACTTAAATGTTGCATCAGAGTGTGTGTGTGTGTGCGCGTGTGTGTGTGTGTGTGTGTGTGTGTGACGACAGGTTGTACATTGGTGGTAGTGATGTTAGATAGAGGTTGTGTAGTGGTGGTGATATTTCCAGCTTGTGTTGTGGTTGGTAGTGTTATTAGATCAAGGTTGTGTAGTGGTGATGGTGGGTGTTGGTTCCAGGTTGTGCGGTGGAGTTTAAAGGGACAAAGACAATCAGCTGTTGTTGTTGTTGTTATGTAAATGGCTTTGTGGTTGTGAACAATTAGATAAAAGATACGTGACATGAACTAAGTGTCTTTGTGACGACTTGTTGCCAGCCCATGACCACCTGTTGCCAGCCCATGACCACCAGTTGCCAGTTCATGACCACCTGTTGCCAGTTCATGACCACCTGTTGCCAGCCCATGACCACCTGTTGCCAGCCTATGACCACTGTTGCCAGCCCATGACCACCTGTTGCCAGCCCATGACCACCTGTTGCCAGTTCATGACCACCTGTTGCCAGTCTGACCACCTGTTGCCAGCCCATGACCACCTGTTGCCAGCCTATGACCACTTGTTGCCAGCCCATGACCACCTGTTGCCAGTTCATGACCACCTGTTGCCAGCCCATGACCACCTGTTGCCAGTTCATGACCACTTGTTGCCAGCCCATGACCACCTGTTGCCAGCCCATGACCACCTGTTGCCAGCCCATGACCACCTGTTGCCAGCCCATGACCACCTGTTGCCGGCCCATGACCACCTGTTGCAGCCCATGACCACCACCTGCTAGCTGAACCAAATAGGTCTTTTTACCTTAACTTGACCACAATCAAGGGTCTCACCTGTGTTGTGTCCTGACCCAAAGACAAAGAACTGAGAAAAAAAAGTCGAAGAAAAAAAAAAGGTCGTGAAATTTTTTGTCTCCACGGACGGACGGACGGAGAAACTTGCGTACGGACACACACAAGGACGGACGGACGCATGGGGAAACTTACGTACGAACACACAAGGACGGACGGGCGGAAAAGACTAGCACACGTAATTTTCCTCACACACACACACACACACACACACACACACATCTTAGGTAATCAGCTACAGGTAATTAATTAACAGGTATATTATTTCGTAATAAACTGACACGATTTTTACTCGGCTTGTTGTCTGAGAGAGAGAGAGAGAGAGAGAGAGAGAGAGAGAGAGAGAGAGAGACCTGATGGAGGTTAAAGAAAATATAACAGTAATGACAAGAGTTGACAGAGGAAGCACAGCGATAAGAGAGAGAGAGAGAAAGATAGTAGATAAGATGGCAAAAGAGAGAGAGGAAATAGACAGTAACTAAGGAGAAAAAGAAGAGGGAATGATGGTGAAGGGTGATGAGTCATGTAATACGGAGATGATGATGATGGTGGTGGTGGTGGCGGTGATGATGATGATGATGATGGTGGTGATGATGGTGGTGATGGTGATGATGATGATGATGGTGGTGGCGATGATGGTGGTGATGATGATGATGGTGGTGATGGAAAAAAATTAAAGCATTTGAAATAGATTGAAAAAAGGGAATATATTTGTTAATTGTAGTTTTTTTTTGTCCGTCCGTCCGATTTACCGTCCATACATCCGCCTTTCCGTCCGACCGTCCGTTCGCCCGTCTGTCCGTCCGTCCGCCCGTCTTTACGTCTTCGTCAAATGGAAGTATGAGAGACGCAAAGCAGGTGGCGAGAGACGCAAGCAGAAGGTGGCGAGAGACGCAAAGCAGGTGGCGAGAGACGCAAGCATAAGGTGACGAAATACGTGCAGGTGGCGAGAGACGAAGCAGGTGACGAAACGCAAGCAGAAAATGATTAGAGACGCAAGCAGAACACGTCACGATACAAGGAACCAAGAGTGCTTTTGATTGGCTACCACTGATGATGATGATGACCCTGTTGAGTTAACGACCGCCTCAACTGGTGATCACACTGTCATTGTCACAAGAACAGCTGTCACGCGACTGTTAGTGACGACACGCTTGACATGAGACTGTAGCCATTGACAACATTCACTAGGAGAGTTAATAGGGGACTGGTGGTGGTGGAGAGGTTGGTGGTGGTGGTGGAGAGGTTGGTGGTGGTGGTGGAGAGGTTGGTGGTGGTGAGGTAGGGTGGGGAGAGGTTGGTGGTGGTGGTGGAGAGGTTGGTGGTGGTGGTGGAGAGGTTGGTGGTGGTGGTGGAGAGGTTGGTGGTGGTGGTGAGAGTTGGTGGTGGTGGTGGAGAGGTTGGTGGTGGTGGTGGAGAGGTTGGTGGTGGTGGTGGAGAGGTTGGTGGTGGTGGTGGTGAGGTTGGTGGTAGTGGTGGAGAGGTTGATGGTGGTGGTGGAGAGGTTGATAGTGGTGGTGGAGAGGTTGGTGGTGGTGGTGAGAGGTTGGTGGTGGTGGTGGAGAGGTTGGTAGTGGTGGAGAGGTTGGTGGTGGTGGTGGAGAGGTTGGTGGTGGTGGTGGAGAGGTTGGTGGTGGTGGTGGTGGAGAGGTTGGTGGTAGTGGTGGAGAGGTTGGTGGTGGTGGAGAGGTTGATGGTGGTGGTGGAGGGATAGTGGTGGTGGTGGAGAGGTTGGTGGTGGTGAAGAGGTTGTGGTGGTGGTGGAGAGGTTGGTGGTGGTGGTGGAGAGGTTGATGTAGTGGTGGAGAGGTTGATGGTGGTGGTGGAGAGGTTGGTGGTGGTGAGAGGTTGGTGGTAGTGGTGAGAGGTTGGTGGTGGTGGAGAGGTTGATGGTGGTGGTGAGAGGTTGGTGGTGGAGAGGTTGGTGGTGGTGAAGAGGTTGGTGGTGGTGGTGGAGAGGTTGGTGGTAGTGGTGATGGACAGGGTGGTGATGGTAGTGTTAGTTAGTTGGTGATATATGGTGGTGTGTTAAGAGAGATTGTGGTGGTGATAGCAATGGTGGTTGTGGTGTTGATTATGAGAGTAGTGGTAGTAGTGGTAGCAGTGGTTATGATAGTGGTGATAGTTGTGGTGGTTATCGTGATAGTTGTGAATGGTGAGAGTTGTGGTAGTGATCATAATAGTGGTGGTGGTAGGTGTATGGTGGTAGTAATGATGAGCCGTAGTGATGACAACAGATGGTGATGAATAGGGAGAATGTATGATGATTGAATTGAAAATAAAGAGGTGATGATGAGACGGCAAGTGACGTCGGTGGATGGTGACGAGATAGTGACTTGATAGTGACAGGTACAGGTAGGACTTGATAGTGACAGGTATGGTAGGACTTGATAGTGACAGGTACAGGTAGGACTTGATAGTGACAGGTATGGACTTGATAGTGACAGGTACAGGTGGGGACTTGATAGTGACAGGTACAGGTGGGACTTGATAGTGACAGGTACAGGTGGTAATTACGTCAGATGGTGATGCCACCTGGCTGTCAAATGAGTAACGATGATGGTGACAACCGAATGAACAGTGACTGGAGAGATTAACTGGAGTGATGATAGTGACAGGTGAAAGTGAGGAGGATTGTGATGTTATTGACCTGTGTGTGTTTCAACCCGTCACTAAACACTATATAAAATGCTCCCTTCCCAGTATGTAACCTGGAAATATATAATCTCAACTAAACCTGGTTGTACAGCTGCTCCCCGGATTCCATATGCTTCCATCACGAAAATTCGCACCTTAACTGAAATTAGCTTCTTTTTTTTTATGTAGTTTTCCTGTCGTCACTTTACTTAATAGCAGAAGCAACGTGGCACCTACTATGTAACCCGCAAGTAGATGTAAAATAAATCCAGGTTGTACAGCTGTTCCCTAGTAGCCATGTGTCTCCCATTGCGGAAATTACCACCTTGATGTTTTTCATTTTATTTTTACGTGGTTTTTACTGTATTTTAATCAGGTGTAAAATGATACTTGCGTTGTGTGTTGTAATGATCAAGACACACACACACACACTATATATATATATATATATATATATATATATATATATATATATATATATATATATATATATATATATATATATATTATATTTTGTCCACATCTTCAGAGGCAACTGTTGCCCTGAAGATGTCTTGAATAAAGACGAAAAGCTAAGGTACTCCGTTGTTTCCATTTTCCGTGTGATTTTATCAAGATTTATCTTATCCACGTTTTCATTGTGATTTACATATGAAATATATATATATATATATATATATATATATATATATATATATATATATATATTTATATAAATTTGCTTTAAAAGTCTATGCAAATATATTCGCCTAAAAAGATACGCCTCGTGACTTATTGTAATGTGTATATTTCATAACACTGATTTAATTTTGATATAGTGTTATGAGAGGGCGTGTTATGTATAGGTTGTGCTAAGTCGGATTTTGTTTCACCTGTATCTCGCTGTTCTTTCTTTCCTTCCATCTTTTCCTTCATTATTAATATCCTTACTGATGATTGTGTTTGTTATTCACAATGTTATGTCGTCATGAGTTAACAAGACTAAAGGCACCATTGTTTTTTTTCTTCCACAACTTGACGTCTTTATTGTACAAAAATATCTTTGGTTAATGTCATTTATAGGTTTATGTCATGATGTTGTGTGGTTTATGGTTTAATGCCAAGTTTATAGATCACTAATGGCACCAGCTTTTGTCCTGCCTTACATTTTATTTTCCTCCTCACTATGCAAACGGTATTGGTGTAGTCACTGTTACGTGAGCCCTTGCGTTAAGCTCGACAACAACCATCACTATTACACAAACTAATAACAATGTTCTTCCTCCAACAGTTTGACGCCATCCTGAGCAAGATCGCTGAGGGTAACACGGGTCGCGTGGCTCTGGTGACGGACGGTCAGCTGCACCTTCGTCAGGTGGTGCACCCCAAGGCCTTAGCGAGGAACCTCCACATCCCAGAGTACTACAATTCCTTTTATGACCTCCGTAAGGAGTTCAAGTCCTTCTACCACTCGGAGGAGATGACGTGCGTCCCCGACATGATAAACTGTATCCTTTTTCGTCTTGTGATGCTTCAGTATAGTCGCGGGAGGTCACCTGTTGTTTATGCTGGGGCTGAAACATGTCTTTTATTTTAAGTAGAGGTGTTGTTGTTGTGGGTGAAACATGCCCGAGCAAGAGGTGAGTGTATTACTGGAACGTTTTGATGGGTGAGGTGTATGTATTGATGGTAGGTTTTGTATAAACCAGACGTTAAGTGGCAGCTCAGCTCGTCAGCACAAAAGTGATAATTACCACCACTACCAGAAGACACTGGTGTGGGTTCCTCTCTCGCCATTGTACTTCTCATCATAATTATTGACCTGTGACCTTACCTCCCCCTACCCCCACCTCCCTGCTTCCCTCCCACCCCCTCTCCCACCTCCCCTTCATATTTTTTTTTCATTACCTCTTAACTCGACTCCAGTTTCTTCAGTTCATAATTCACGGAGATTTCCATTGTTCCTGAGGGCTTTTACTCTGTACATCCAAGGATTCTCTCCCGTTGTTCCTTTTATTGTTACTGTTCCTTCCTCTTCCTTCTCACTGTTCCTTACTCTTCCTTCTCGTCGTTATTTTTCTCGTAATAATTTATTGTTTAGAATCTTGCCGTCGTCGACCATCTATCATGACGTGGCGCTCAACCCTTTCCTCCTCCCGCTTTACTGTCTCTCCTTCCTTCCTTCCTTCCTTCCTTCCTTCCTTTTTCCGTATCGTAAATTTCTCGTGAAGGTGGAGGACCTGTTCAACTTTGTTTTTCTCCCTACGTGAGTCTCCAGCCCTCCTCTCCGTCAACCACTCCTCCTCCATCACCACCACCTACACTCACTCCTCCTCCTCCTCCTCTTCCTTAGTCACGGTGGGAATTGCTGCTGCTACTACATCCAAAAATTGTGGTCACCCGCCTGTTCGTTTACCTCAGCTAGAAATGACCGCCGCATGACTGGCTCCTCTTCCTCCCCTTCCTCTTTCTCCCCTTCCTCCACAGTCTGTCACACTACCATCTTCCCGTTTACTGTTGAGGGCCCACTACCGTTTTGTCCCGGTAGTATCGAGCCGTTTGACATAGCCACACCGCGACACACCTTACTCATCTCCCGTTGATACTGACCACAACAGGTACGATGATGGGGTCCCTTGTGATGCTGTGTTGCTGTCACGGTCGTCATCATCATCATCATCATCAATCTTTCTGTTCATCACCGCTCATAACTCACATGTCACTGGTGTCTTTCCTCTTGCTCTTTCTCTTCCTCCTCTTTTCTTCTTCCTCCTCCTCCTCCCTTTTCCTCCCTTTCCTTCCCCCTCCTCCTCCTCCTCCTCTTGCCCAGACACTCGTGAGAGGCTCTGTACCTCCAACACGTGCTGCAAAATAATTATAACTCCTCCCTAACGGCGTGGACCAGTCTGCAACAAGGGCGCCACAACTCACCTCCACCAACACCACCTCCACCAACACCTCCACCAACAACACCCCCACCACCAACAACACCACCACCAACACCAGTACCTTCTTCAGCCAATAGGAACGTCAGAATAACACAACCTTGAACCAATAGCAACTAGCCCTGCAGAGAACGAGGCAACTCAGCAGATAATAGGCATGGGGGTGATTATGGTGATTGAGGGGCGTAAACCACACGAGGCATGGGACTGGTCGTGGGTGTAAACTGCCATAGGGTTGTACAGGTAAACCATTATGAAAGTTTACGCCCACTCACGAACATGGTGGCTGTTCCGGGTGGTCCGTGACTGTCAGTGGTCTATGGCTGCGGTCCGTAGGTGGCTGTGGTCCGTGACGTGAGATGCATCGACCCTGACCCTGCAGCCCTCGCACTAATAATTTTCCCTGACAATACCTGGCCAACTAAAGCTGTATGTAATGGTAATTGTGATTGGTGGATCTATTTTCAACTATCATTGCCAAGGTAAAAATATTCAATAATCTAAAGGTAGAATTTTTATAGTAATTTTTTTTTTTTGGTGGGGGGAAGAATCTTGTAGCTGTGGTTGAAGTTGTGTTGCCAATTCAATATTTAAGTAACGATGGTTTTAAGTAACGATGGTGGTAGTGGTGGTTGTTGTGGGTTGTGGCTTGTATGGGAGGGGAAGGAGCCTTAAGTGGCGGTGTAGCGTTGGAGTTGTTGATCTACGGACGTGACGCTAATGCTGAGAATCTACGGACGAGACCTTGAAATTGATGATCCACGGACGAGACCCTGAGGTTGATGACCCATGGACGAAAACTAAGATCGAGGAGCCACTGACGAGACCCTGAGGTTGATGATCCACTGACGAGACCCTGAGGTTGATGATCCACGGACGAGATCCTGAGGTTGATGATCCATGGACGAGACCTTGAAATAATGGATCCACGGACGGAACGCAAACGTTGATCCACGGACGAACAGGTGACAACCCACACTACTGCTTCGTGTTCGGTTTTACCCGTTGCTCCGGTTCAGTTGGTGGTTCTGCAGGTTTGAGTTCCTTCCTGAAGTGGTTCTGTCTCATGGTTCTATATCCTAGAGTCGAATAGTTTTAGCCTAGCGAGTGTTTTTGACGAGTACTTTTGGCGAGTATATTGGCGAATAATTTTGACCGAGTAGTTTAGCAAGCAGTTTTAGCGAGTAGTTTTGCAAATAGTTTTAGCTAATAGTTTGGCAAGTAGTTTTAGCGAGTAGTTTGGCAAGTATTTTAGCGAGTAGTTTTGCAAGTAGTTTTAGCGAGTAGTTTGGCAAATAGTTTTAGCTAATAGTTTGGCAAGTAGTTTTAGCGAATAGTTTTGCAAATAGTTTTAGCTAATAGTTTGGCAAGTAGTTTTAGCGAGTAGTTTTGCAAATAGTTTTAGCTAATAGTTTGGCAAGTAGTTTTAGCGAGTAGTTTTGCAAGTAGTTTTAGCGAGTAGTTTGGCAAGTAGTTCTTAGCGAATAGTTTGGCAAGTAGTTTTAGCGAATAGTTTGGCGAATAGTTTTAGCGAGTAGTATGGCAAGTAGTCTTAGCGAATAGTTTTAGCGAGTAGTTTTAGCGAATAGTTTGGCGAATAGTTTTAGCGAGTAGTATGGCAAGTTTCCCCGTTCCTGGAGTTAATAGTGAAGCTCTGTAATGCTCATGGCGACAATGTACCCGAAGGCTCTCTCTAGTGTAGGACTCCCCATCGAGAATCCTTATCAGAGGCTCCTATGTAGTCTGTAGCCAAGGACTCTTAGGCTATAGTCCCAACAATGCGGGAGTGGTTGTGGTGGTGTGGTTGGGAGTTTTAGGTGTGGTATGCCCTATCGTGGCCTCTTACGGTGTGGTTGTTGTGGTGTGGTTGGGAGTTTTAGGTGTGGTATGCCCTATCGTGGCCTCTTACGGTGTGGTTGAGGTGGTGGTGGGGGCCGGTGAGTGCGTGTAAGAACGAGGGAACCGCCATCGTCCGCCTGTCTTCGTGACCCGGGCGCCTCTCTCTACCTAACCTAACCTAACCTACACGTTCTTAAGCTTCGTTTCTTGTCTTTCTCTTGTTACTTTCCTTTTCCTTTCTTCTCGCGCTTTCTTCACCTACGTTGCCTTATCTCTCCCTCTCTCATATTACTAAATTCATGTTGTTTGGTAGTGTATTGTTCCTCCCTCCCTCCCTTACCTCCCTCCTTATCTCCCTCCCTCCTTCCCCTTTTCCTTCCTGTCCTTTGCTCTTTCTCTCTTTCTCTGTAATTGTATTCCATTATGCTGCTGTTCTTGTTATTCCTCCTCCTCCTCCCTCCTCCTCCTCCTCCTCCCCCTCCTCTTCTTCACCCTCCTCCCCCTTCCTCTTCCTCCATTTCCTCCTCCTCTTCCTCCATTTCCTCCTCCTCATCCTCCTCTTCCTCCATTTCCTCCTCCTTATCCTCTTCCTCCTCCTCTTCCTCCATTTCCTCCTCCTCATCCTCTTCCTCCTCTTCTTCCACTTCCTCCATATTCACCTCCTGTGTGAGTCGGGACGTTCTCTCACACATCTGGGTTACACGGTAAGAAAATGCCTTTGTCATTAACTTATAAGAAGGTGGAGCCGGAACCACCGTCCTCTTGTGATTTTTATTTTACCCCTTTTTTTTGCATTGAAATTATCCAAAAAACTCTGATTGACGTTTACTTGTTGGTGTTCTCTCTCTCTCTCTCTCTCGCTTCCTCCTACACCCTCCTACCTCCTGTTCCTCCTCCTACCCCCTCCCCCTCTGCTGAATTACGGTACTTTGGATTCAATTTACTGGTATGTGTGTGTGTGTGTGTGCGTGCGTGCGTGCGTGCGTGTGCTGCTATTTTTCCCTCACACCGACGGCAACTGATTTGACTGACTGGACTTCCTTGGTGCGACGCTTTTACAGTCTATCTTCCCTTTGGTCTTAACGACTCTTAAAGACTGGACTGGAAGAATTGGTGGTTATCCATATTTAAAGAAATAAAGACTTAAACTCCTCTTTTGTCTCAGGTTTCGGGATTTAAGAAGCGTTCATGAAATCTTTTTTGTCAAGTAAGCGACCACAACACTGACAAGTAATCGGGTGTTGGGCGACGTTCTTTTGTTTTTTTATTTTATTTTTTTGTACATTGTATGATTATTTTTACTCCTGTTATAATAATATAGGATTGTTAAATACGTTTTAATTGTATGTTAACACCGATTTCCGGATTTAGATTGCAAACTTAAGTGAAATAGTGTTAAATAAAGATAAGTTTTTTGTCTTTGTAAAGCGAAGGAAAAAAATACGTAGGCTATTGACAGTGATGTGTTACTGACCAGTGAAAATAACTGTCCACGGCAATTATTTATTTAAGTATTCTCACAGTTAATGTTTCTTTACTTTTTGTTTTTGTCTCGTATTTACCGACTTAATATTTATTTATGAAGAGACAGTAATTGTTTATTAATGCGACGGTAAGAATTTGTTGTTGGTATTTACCTTTACGAGCGAGTGAAGGGAAAAAAAACACACAAGTTACTGGAGGAAATGCCGAGGAATCTACGAGTTAACGGTCAGCTGTACAAG